CCCCCCCCACACACACACACACAACATCCACTCTCCCAAGCGACCCCGTCAAAAAAAAAAATTTTGAATTATTTTTTTCTAGGTCAGATCTCAGGGGCTGATTTTGAAACTGTCATCGAGATCTTTTACAAAATGTTTCAAAATCCTTTTATTTTCCAAGAAAATATTTTCCTTCTTACCAAACACCCGCAAGTACTTTTACATAAGTACTTTTACAAAATGGCTTGTGTAGTTCTGTTGATTTGGAAGAAAGTGACAAAATGTATTCTATCCTAAGAAAAAGTAACTCTATTATCAAAAAATATATATGTCCAAAACATGAAATAAGAAATGGAAAAATGTTTTCTATCATAAAATCTTTTATCAAAAGACTATATTAAATTTCACTTGGCAAGGATTTTTATTACACCAAAAATTTAGATCAATATTTGATTTCTCCTATTCTTTATTAATTAATGAAGAAAAATATATATCTATTATAGCTTTTTATTTCTTTCAATTGTTCTTTATTGTTGTTTCCATATGATTCCCTTTTATTTAATTAAGGTTGAAATATGTTTAGTAATATTTATATTATTAAAGGTAAAACTATCCTTTCTGTTATTTTAATATTCTGTTATTAATAAAAATCATCATGTAAACTAATAGCGTGATCAAGTTCCCTATTAAAGATAAAGCACAAAAAATTCATTTCAATAATAAAAAAAAACAAAATCACTAAAAATTTAAAAATTATATTTCGTAGTTAAAATCTCATCTATCTTAAGGAAAATAAAAAACGAAATTTATTAAAAGAAATGATCTAAAATCATTAATTTAATAATTTACGGAAATCACTAAAATCGCAAATGGAAAAGAAACTGATTCGGAGCATAACAAGGAATACAATATCCTATTAGTTATAGAGTCATTGATTAATGAGAAGTATAATTAATCATTAATTCGTTACTAATTAATTTTTTTATTTTCTCATTCGGATATTAAATATGTTATTCAATTAGTTAGGATTGTAATTCAACTTTGTCATTCTTAACGCCGATTGGAAAAGGCTTTGCTAGGGTTTTATTATGGAAGCCATGGCTCCTTGGTCTGATCTTCCGAAAGAACTTGTTGAAAGAATTAGTAAATTCGTCAACAGCAATATTGATGTCCTTCGCATTCGTGCAGTCTGCAGTTCATGGCGTTCAGCATTTTCTCCTAATTTCAAAATCCCCAAATCTCAGTTTCCCATCAAATTACCCATCAATCCTCATTGTTATTTAATTGAATGCACTGTTTATGTTTTCCAACTTCCTCATCCTCCTCACACAGGCTGGTTGGGTAAGATTCTAAAAACCCTAGACGGACCATTAATGATTTTGAATCCTCTAACCAAAAGAGGAATCAAGTTTGTGTCTGATGATAAGAGATTGAATTTACTAGATTTTCGTGTTTCTCAAGTTTGTAAATCCTATCATGCGAAGTTGCTCTTAAACGGTGACCTAAATTGTCAACCTTATGCCGGATGGGGTATATTTAAAAAAATCTTGCCTATTTGTAATGATCTAACCACTCATTTTTCTCTAATGGCAATTACTGTTAGGGATCACTTATTGTGTTTTAAGTCAGGGGATGACGACTGGACTACCTTGAAAGATCTCACTCGTAGTAAGATTGTCGATATTAGTGTGTATAAAGGGAATTTTATGCTGTTGATACTTATGGAGAGACCATAATGTATGACCCCTTCTCGTTTAACGAGATCAATGTATCCTCCACCGTAAAGATATTATCTTCAAGCTTATTTAACGAATGGGGTAGTAAGAAACGACTAGTGGAAACAGGTGGGGAGTTGTTTCTGGTTGATATGTTTTTAGATACTGATGTTAAGACGGAGTTGCAAGGTTCTGGACCTTCAAGGAACAATCCCATGGAAATTAAGATTTACCGGCTTGATGAAGAACTGCATCAGTGGATTAGAGTGCATACGTTAGGTGATCGAATTTTCTTTGCTGGTGACGACTGTTGTTTCTCTGTTTCTTCATCAGATTTTGGTGATCAGTGCAGAGGAAACTGTATTTACTATAAGAATGGAGATATAATTGTGGACATCTCGGGAAATGACCTTAGCGAGGAAGTGAAACTTAGATATAAAGGATTACATGATCAACACACAGGTATCATTACCTTACAAGATGGTAAACTTGGTTCATTGTCATCCTTCCGCGAATATGCAGATATTTTCTGGCCACCTCCATCTTGGCTTTTTTACTGAGGATCAGGCAGCTTCTAAAAAGTTTTCTCCTCGAATGTTGCCTTTTCTATTTGATACTAGTCATGTAAGCTCATGGCAGGATGAGAAGAAGCTTGATCCTAGACATGTAAGGTCGTTCTAAACTTGATACTTGAAAAGTGAATGTGTTTGAATTTAAGTATTCCTATCTATTATAGTTCTTTTCTAATGACCTAAAGATTTAGATTCTTTGTTTATGAAACTCAATGCCTTTCTTTTATTTTATTCACATGCACTTCAATACTCCATTTAACTAATGCATTCGTTCCTTGATTGACTTGTTTATATTATTAAATGTTGACATCGACAGTTAACGTGCATGCTGCAGAACATTTTTAATATCCTTGATGGTGTTTTGTCATGTGCCAATGAAGTTTCCAGATCAATAATTGATGACCAAAAGTGTTGGATAACAGTAACGCGAACAAGAATCGTGTATCATGTTTATGTATTATGCATAAAAAGAAACAAATGTAGCTTTTAGGAGTTACAACTTCCTGCAGATATATCTATTCTGCAGAATTAAGAGTTACTGAAAAAGAGTATAAGGGAACTAAGTATTGCCAAATGAAACAGTTTTACATTTAAAAGAGAGAAATGTTGATTTCTAAATAAGTTTATGAGTTCAGAGATGTTTCCGAGTATCGCCTCTTTTGAGTAATTACTTCAAATTGAGAAAGAGTTATGTTTTATACATTTGAGCATGAGTTTATATATTATTGAGAGTAGTATTGAACACCAATATAAGGATGAGTTCAGACAACTCACATTCCTCATAAATCATGTAGCCAACATGGGTAAATGATCGTACTTTTTAGACGACTCTTTATTGGTTTTAAGCATAGCTTAGTGGATCCCCTTAGTTGAGGTGTTTTATTCCCGGACAAGTTATAGGACAGTTCTGGCAGCGTGGGCGAGACGTTGTATCATTACATAGCTCATAGTGATGATTGTCGGTTAGAGAATCTCTCAAATAAAAGTAAAGAGTATGTTATTGTATTTTTATACATTTTGAGTTGATATCTATTGTTTTAAGGGGTCGTTTGGTAGAGTGTATAAAATAATGCTGAATATGATGTATTAGTAATGCATGCATTAATTATGCTTGCATTATTTCTTATACATTGTTTGGTTTGATGTATTGGAAATAGCAAGACTTGTATAAAGACTATTAAAAAATATTTGTTTACAAAAATACCCCCACATTATTATAATTATAATTAATATTATTATAATTATAATTATTCTTCTTATTATTATTAGGCTTAGAGGGTAGTTTTGTCATTAGTTAATCTAATGCATGCATTAAAACCATTGCATTACTAATACCTAGAAATCCATGGTATTAGCAATACACACATTAATACACAATAGAGTATATAACTAATGCAAGCATTAGTTATACATAGATTGGAAAAGAGAACCAAACAAGGTACTAGTAATACACAATGTTAATGCATGCGTTATTTTTCCTAATACACTCTCCCAAATGACCTCTAAAAGTTTTAAATATTGCATCTCTTATATTTTTCTTTCATATTGGAGTTGAGTTGATGTGAGTATGTCTTTCAGTCTTATCTATTCAGCTATCTATGTTTTTGTTTTTTTCCTTACATGTTTGTACATTCAATGTACTGACGTCATTCGACCTGCATTTTATTTATGACGCAGATACAGGTGTTCAGGTTCATCAACAAGCGCTTCGTTAGAATATAGGTTAGTTATACTAGATATGATTTTCTTTCATTAGTTGTAACTTAGTGTGTAATAGTGGGAAAAAAACTGTAGCCAGGCGCATTGGCAGACACGCCGCGCCTGGCATAAAAGTTCAGATGAGGCGTTGGGGTGCGGTACTAGAGCGTCGCCCCTCCATCGCGCTAACGCCCAGTAGGTGGGCGTATTGGCAGGCGCGCCGCGCCAAGACTCAATGTTCAAAGCGCCTTACCAGGCGCTCCTGTGGCGCACTGCGCCCCCATTGCACCCTCACCCAGATTTTGTGGAAACCGGGTTTTGACTCGACCCACTAATAATAAAACCCCCCAACTCCTACATTCATCCCCTATTCCCATTATTCCACCAACCCAAACCCCAAAGTTTCTCCCACTCTTTTCTCTTCATCTTCTTCTTCCCTCTCCAAATTATTTAGAGGTTTCATAGATAGTTAGAAGTTGAGGAGTCTCTCCATATTTCCCTTGATGTTTTGAGACTTTGAGTCGATTACTTATGTTTATTTAAGTATTCCCAGACTTTTATTAAGTTAAGTTGTTATTAAGACATTATGAGCTAACCTTTGCATTTGGAGTTTCCATTTTGCTTGGGTAAGTCTTTCGCTAAGTATTCGGCCAGCCAAGGGTTCGCGTGGGACCAACAATGGTTCTCGAGTGTCGACCACAGCCAGAGTGTAAGTTCGAGGCGTGACAGTAAGACGAATGTGTCTATTTGTTCAATTTTATACAAATCTAAGTGTCTACTTGTGCACAATACTCAAAATTGAAAGGGCGTAAATATTAATTAAATGACATTTTCCCTTTATGAGTAACTTTCACATATAGCAAACACAAAATTCATATTTATATGCTATAGCAAAGTTTGCATAATTGCGCTCCATAGCAAACATAAATATGTATATTTCGCTATACATATACAAAAGAAAGCAGTTGTATAATATGCTTTGGTATACATATACAAAAAGATCAATTGTATAAAGTGAGAGAGGCAAGTGAGCGAGCAAGATCTGGGAGAGGGGAACGAAAATATATGTATATATACAATTTTCACGCATTTTATACATTT